TTTTTGGTTTATTAAGCTAGCAGATGTGCTGATTTGTTAATAAATAACTGTCGGGGGACAATGAGAAATTCGCAAAACCTTAAATAAATTCTGAACTGTATTATAATTTGGGAATGGAAATAGTCTAGAGCAGTTGATCCTTCTCCGTTGCTTGATCAAAGCTAAATCTTTTTCTTGTATATTTCTTTTGTGTGTCTTTTGGCCTCATGTATGATTCTTGAGAGATTTTAGGACCACTATCATTAGTTTTCTGCTTTTGGTGTCTTCTTGTTACATACTCTAAATATTTATGTGGTACGAATTATGCCTGAGACAATCTATCAACGATAGGCAGTGTCATCATATATGTTGGCTGATATGACACTATAAAAAAACGAGAGGCGTAAAAATACTAGAAAAGTTCTGACACTAAATGTCTAGGACGTGTCAACTCAGAAAAAGATTATATATATATTTGAGATAGGCCCATGAAAGATTTAATAATTCCAAATTAAGAAGGTATTATTACCTATTATGATGAGGAGGGAGCAATTTATTTGACACATTTTGGAGAGTTGGATAGGGTTCCGTCCCAGAGGGTGTGACAATGTTGCTTTAGGAGCATCCATTTTCAGAAATGTCCCCTGCACCATAGGTCATTAGTGAAAAAGTCTGCTGTGGGTCTATGATGTTGGGCGGTTGTGAATAGCCCAAGCATTTTCAAGTTTTTAATTGAGTACGTAAGAGCTAGATAGTAGATGGAGATCAATTGTGGAAAAAAAAAATTGTTGCACTTAATAAAGGAGCTATCGTAGTGCAGATCCTTACTTATTTTTCCATTTTCTTCAATTTTGTTTTAATACTTTACTCCATTGACCTCCAATTTTAATGGATCTGCACTTTTGATCATGTATGGACTTCAGTTACCACCTTTTCCTTGGGCTTTTTTATGCCGCCTCACTCTCTTTTAAGATCCTTCTTTAAATTTTCAAGTTATTTTTGCCTAATTTATCCAATGTTCTCAGCTGCCTTGATCTTCCTGTAAAGTGGTGATGAACCAAATGGAGTGGCGCAAAAGTATTTATGTAGTTGACCCGAATTCAATTAAGTGTAATACTTATTTGTGTTGATCAATGTTGTTTGAGTGGTGTGAAAGTATTTATGTAGTTGAATCCAAATTGATTGAGTAAGCTTAGTTTGCATTGATCAATGTTCTTGGCAATTTTTTGAGAGTACACTTATTTATTGATGAAATAACTATTTTTTAGCTGAAATTTTAAATATAAAATTCATGTTTTCTGAGTGCTTCAGATAGTGGCTTGTTAAGAACTAGTGAAAATGTGTTTTATCATAGATTACCTGTGGAAGAGCTTCAATACTGATATAATCTTGTTAGAAACGTTCCATGGGAGCAATATGTTCTTCCTAATGCCATTTTAATGTTCTTCAGGTTGAAGCTGAAGGTCTAAGCTCCTCTACTTATGGAACTGAGCATGATAGGTCATTGTCACCATCACTTGATGAGTTTGATGCGGATAGTCTTTGCAGGCAACCTGCTGAAAGAGCATCTCCATCTCATTCTGGCTTTGGTTATGGGCTCCGCAGAGTGACAGGTACAGATGAAAAGGCAAGTGAATGGCGAGCAAGAAAATGGCATGATGCTTCCAGACACCAGCTTAAAAATTCAGCTGCATACAGTTCTAAAAATGGAGTTGATCTTCGAGGACCTAGAGCTTTGATTGATGCTTATGGAATGGATGAAAGGGAAAAAAAATTTAACCTCGGACATCCAAGTATTGAACACTTGGATGTAAATGGTGTTGATGAGAAGGCATCTATCAAGACATGGAAAAACACGGTAGAAGAAGAATTTGATTGGGAAGACATGAGTCCAACTTTAGGAGATCGAAGTCGGTATAATGAATTACATTCATCACATGTTCCATTTAATGGTAACTTGACAGAAAGACACCGCTTTGCTACACACCATGCTGCACCTTTTCCTACTCATTCCAAAAGCAGCTGGTCTAAGATCCAATTTTCTTCAGCTACTGATTCTTCTGTCATAAAGGATGTGCCCCATAGTGTATGGTTTATATACTTTGTCTTTCTCCATCCTAATATTCTTTTGGCACTGCCATGAGATAATCTTGTCGTTGATGATGTTTCACTATCTGTGTTCTAATGTTTAAAGATTTTAGGTGTAATTACATGTGATAGCTACCTACATGTCAATTCGTTATTTCTGTGGTTGTGGAAAGTTATTTGTTGCTTTATGAGCTTCTCTTGATTTGATCAGTTCTTTCCACATGTGCTGCTTTTTCTTGTCTAGTGGTTTTCAAGCTACCGTTACTCTCGTACAAACATGGCAATCCTCTATCAAGTAGAAATTCAGCCTTCTAAACCTCTGTTTGGCAAATTTACAAATGGTTTATAAATAGGAATAGTAGTTGGTCCACAAAATGTGTGGCTAGTAACGAGTAGTTGTTATGAATGTGTGATTGACATTTATATTTGAGTTTGACTAGATTTATAAATCAATATATAAATTGTATCCAAATGGAGGCTTAGTCTATTATTTACCTTTATCGGTGTCATAATATGACCTAACATGCTTGCATATCCTGACTTGGGGCTTCTTAAAGCATTATATTCTTTGATGCGGGGTGTTTTTCTTGGCAGTCTGGTCATGGAGTAATTAACAAGATTACTGGACGCTGCACACGCACAGGTCATATTACTGCTTCTAGTTCTGCTCAAGAATCCTGGAATTGTCCTCACCCTTTGAATTCCAAAGGAGGTGTTTCCTATTCTGGAACTTACAGTTTTTCCTCAGCTGGTGAGGTAAAGCCCCCAGTAATGGGTAATTTCCCCAGTACGGATGAAAGACTTAGTGTGCCCCCGGATTTGGTGTCCACAATCAGTTCTATGTTTGACTCTCTGTCTCCAGAGATTCCATCAGCTGATGCACCAGCTTTAACAGAATCATGGCTTCCTGCAAAGTTGCAGAGTTCATATCCACTGCCTTCACTTTCTGCTTTTTCTTATCAAATGCATAGCATAGGTCAGTTTAAAACTATGAGTTCTGGTAATGTCATAGTTGATCAAGGTCTGAACAAGTCAATTCACTCGAAGCAGCATTTCAGTGGCACTAACAGCATGCCACGAAGCAAATTGCCTCAATTTCCTATTCAGCGCTCTGGATCAGTCCCCTTGAATCTGCAAAGTTCTGCACAAGCTGCTCTAGTACAACCATATTTATTAAAGTCTCAGGGGGTTCGGCTAAATCTGCCTCTTCCTTCAGCATCAGGCCTTTCACGTGCAACAATTCAACCTCTGAATCATGGATACACTGCACAGCAGCATGGTGGTCCTAGTGATACTTCCTTGTGTGATATAGTTTTGGGTGTGCAGTCATCTTTGCCGATCAATAATGCTCCAT